AGTAGTAAGACACATTGTTGTGAGTTTATAAATGCACTAACTGCCAATACAGAAATTATATCTATTAATAGTCATAATTGACAATAAACACTCCGTGACTGTGACAGCGATGTCATAAAAAACTAAAAAGTGAAAAATAAATATAGTTTAAAAAACTAAAAAAACACGCTTTTAGAGCACGTCGAACTAAAGAGTTAAAAATAATTTTTGAAATAAGCTTAAAACAATAATGAACGAAAAATGCTAGTAGTATTGTGAAAAAAAAGCGACGGGCACTCAATATACGAAAATTATGCCACAAAGCGCCCACGCTTTTTTTCACTATAATACCAGTATTTTTTGTTCATTATTGTTTTAAGCTTTTTTCAAAAATTATTTTTAACTCTTTAGTTCGACGTGCTCTAAAAGCGTGTTTTTTTAGTTTTTTAAACTATATTTATTCTTTAAAATATATACGACAGTCATTGTTACTGTACGGTGGTACCTTTTATGTTGGAAATATGCTTAACTAAGTTTCTGGTAGTTGATGATAAAATTCTTATAAATTATAATACCATAACGACAAACGTTGTCTTCGTACTCATAATATATATGATATAGCAATGTACTCGTGGGTCAGTGGACGTATGGGGGTGCGGCACATCAAACCTGCGGACTCAACTCATATTATACGCATTTTCAAGGATTAACGTGTACTTACCCTGGAAAATTAATTTTTATTTTTCCGTATAATAATCATTTTATTACATACAATATCATTAGATTAGTTTATGTTAAGTTTTCATTACCTCTTTAGGACTTAGGAGACCCTATAGCATTAATATTAAGTAAATATGTTTTAGGAATAGACAAGGACACGTGTGGTGGCGGCGGGTTGGGTTTCCTCCCCTTTCACCTATACTCCCCTCTTATTTGTTCGTTCTAATCCTATCTTTTCTAGACTATATGGATGAGTAGAGTATTCATCCATCAAAGCATTTTCATCTCTCCTACAGTTATTCTCTACTCTACTTTCTTGTTAACTTTTTGTTACTCATTTCACACATTTCGGCCTGTTACAATCGCCATCAACATATTCTCTATTATATTAAGGTACCTTTTCGGGACTCCTTTTCTCATTAATGCCCACTTTAAAACCTTTATATAGAGTATACCTATATAGGCAGTATATCATATGCTTTCTCCAAATCTATAAATACCATACACAGCTTTCTTTTCTTTTCCCTATACTTTACTATTAGTTGTCACACACAAAAAAATGGCTTCATTGTTGAATTACCAGGCATAAATTCAAACTGGTTTTTAGATACAATGTCTCATTTTAAATCTCTGATCTAATCTTTTCCCAAAATTTCAAAACATGACTCATACATTTCATGCTTCTATAATTTCCACACTTCAGTATGTCTCCTTTACCTTTAAATATCGGCACCACAATATTATTTCTTCATTCTTTTGGCATTTTCCCTCTTATCGAGATTTTAATAAGAAGATCTTTCAACTATCTGGCCAACACCGCCTAATATTTTACATACTTCTACTGGTCGCATTTTTCGTTGATGCCACAGCCTTCCATAACACTGTCTCACTAATTGATTATACCAGTCCCTGGTTTCAAAAGATATCTTCTAATGACTTTTATGGATACTCCTCATTCAGTATTTTTTCAAAATATTCATTTATATTTTTTTCATATCATCATCACTTGATAGTAAACTATTTTCAACAGTTTTTATACACCTTACATAGTGATAATCTTTAGAATTCATTTCTCAGATTTCTTTTTTGATATCTTTTGTTCTTAGCCTATCATACCTTACTTCACCTTATTGCACACTTGTCACATAAATGTCAAAATTGACGATAAATTGTCAAAAATCCTTTAAATTTGATAAGTAATAATAAAAAAAATGTATTGCAGTATTGGAACCCGAAGAGAAAGGTATGCGAATTATTCTATTAATATTTTATGTAATATCCAATAGTAAAAAAAATCATAATCTACAATAAAACTTCATAAAATGCGTTACTTGGATAAAAACATAAGTAGGGTGAAAAAGGGGATTCAGCCCGATAGGGGAAGTGAGAGGCGTGGCCTATGTGGAAAGAGTGGGAGAAATATGCGTGTTCTGTTAAGGGGAAGCCAGTCACCGCTTCACCCACCCACCACACCGCATGTGGTGTAGGTGAAGAGGTGTGGAGGGGGGAATAAATCCAACGTAAACTAACATAATGCAATGGGAGGGGGAACGATGATGTAACCCAACGTAAACTAACCTAAGAAGAACCTCCTCTGACAAGTCTTAGGGTGGGGGAAGTAAATCCAACGTAAACTAACCTAAGTCAGGTGAGGAACCTCTCCTCCTCTACCAAGTCTTAGGGTGGAGGAAGTGAATCCAACGTAAACTAACATAATACAATGGGAGGGGGAACGATGATGTAACCCAACGTAAACTAACCTAAGAAGAACCTCTCCTCCTCCTCCAAGTCTTATGAGAGAAGGGTAATGTAACTTAAGGTAAACAAACCTATAGGAGGAGGGGGGAATGAAACACGACGTAAACTAACACAACTTGTCACGCACCTAAATTATGCGTAGCCATATATACGTAATATAGGTTTTTTGACGAAAAAAAAAAAATGCATTTTCCAGGTAAGCTATACGGTTACGGTGAAAAGTATGAATTTTAAACGTCGAATCCGTTATTTTGATATGCGACATGCATATATTTAGATAAAGTCTGTACGTAAAATGTTAATTTTACCTAATTTGTAAAAAAAAAAATTAGTTCGAAACATTGTGTGCCAGATGGCTGTATTGATGATTACACTATAGCACTTGAGATTAATACAGCAGATGGCCCAACGCGGCGGCGACGGCGTCGGCGATGTCGCCGTCAATTAGATTAATTGTTATTATACGAGTTAATAAGCTTGACCGTTATTCGTATAGTGAATAATAAATCAATATTTTTTTTTGTAGACAATATATACTAATGACGACTGTTAGAGTTTTCTTATAGCAAAACACATTCTTAAATAAACACTACCGCCGCCGCCGCCGCCGACGACGACGTAATCACTGGAACATATATATTATAATGTTTATAATATTATTATAATCTGTATTATACTTATCGATTAATGTCGTACATATATATTTTGTCTGAATTATTACTGGTATCCCTCCCATTGTTATAAATTATTACCGTATTTAACAACTGTAATAAATTATTTTTAATAAAATAATAGCTTCGACTGGAAGGATTGCATTCTTCATCCGTCAACGCATTAGAGACGGCAGACGGTCATAATTTTTACAAAGGCATCTGTTTTAAATCCTAATGACATATATGTGTAAACATTTCACTTTAATTTTCACGCTATTTTAAATAACTATATTTTACTATAATAATTAAAACGTATATAAATTAGACATGCAAACGTATCAAATATACGATGGAAAACTGAATTTTTTGTCTTTCATTAATACTACTATATGCATGGGTATGAATGACGTAGGTGGACAGTGTTCATTACAATCATTTATCTAGTAATATTCTAATATCTTAGTCATATACACCTTATCCGTTATCACGAATTAATTATCTAAAAGATATTTGGAAAGGAGGAGGGAGGGGGTAGCAACATAACATTGTATGTTGACTTCTAATAGGTTCTCAGTATTTGTTAATCTATTGTGTGCATAAGATGGATTATTTCAATGATATATCGGATAAATTGAATTTTCTTGTTGAAAACGATCCGACGGATAGAGTTTTCAAACTAGTTAGTAAACTATTGAAAAATTATAGAGATTTACAATATTTTGCGGAACGTCTAGGCGATAAAGTTAATGGTGTAGGTGGAGACTTTTTACATTACAAAGGTTGTGAATTATCGGAAGTGGGAAAAAATTCGGACAATCATGAATGTGCATGCTCAGTTGTGAAGCGAATATATTACGAACTTTTGGATTCAATCGATACAATTGAAAAGACGACGAATGCGAACCGCAGCGACAGTAAAGCCTATTGGACCTTGAGACTTTAATCACCAAGGTGTAAATTCAATAAAATCAACGACTTGATCGATTCATCAATGTATAGATTGTATTAAAACATTGAAAATTATCTTCAGTGATTATCCACACATGAAAGTATGTTTAAAAATATTTGATTTTTTCATTTTAAAACTTAAACTTAAAAATAAATTTCAGCGTGTTTATTACTTCTCCAATCTGGTGGAATTGGCTACAAACAGATAATTTCTAGGAATTGATACTTTACCAAAAATTGACAAGAAAGATCGTGACTTTTCCAGTCAAATTCGAAGATGATTGAAATAAAATAACAAGTTTACAAAACAACTAGTTTTTTATAAAAAAAAATTATATATACATTATAGTAGTTATATATACATATTTTTTGTTTCTATATTGTATATTGTACAATAATAAAAAATAAATTTGTATTTACATTAAAGTTTTCGTACTTCTCCCGTGAATGCGTTGTATTCCATTTGACAGTCGTGAATAATTACACAATACAATGATGTTTTATCGGGAAACTGTTTGGAGCATTCGAAATCCAAGCGTAGATCAACCGTTGAAGACTTGACGGTGTCGTTTTGTTTAGAACAATCAATCACGACTATAGGTCCACGTTTTTTGTAATTTATATAGTCCAATAAAGGATAGGGGTCTTTACGACCGTAATACATTGTCTGGAATTGTGCGTACGAGTTATAAAACGTTGTGTACTTGTTGTTGTCGAAATCGGCGTTTTGGTTCTCGTACGGGTATTCGTCAGCGTTCAGATACGCTTTGACGTTTCTCAATGAACAGTGATTGAAATCTCCGAGAACGTGTTCGTCCTCATTACCCATGGCAATAAGTAAATATCTAGGTTTTTCCACATTTGAATAGGTGCGCACCGACCACGTGTGATGAGTTGTCTGTGGAACCAATGGGTAAACGGCAACGTCCCAGTGTTGAAATTCTAACGGGAGCCATTTCTTGCTGTCCAGAATACGCATCAGACCC